CCCTCGCCACCCCGGCTGGTTGCCGGACCCCCCCCGCCACCCTTTGCCACCCCAGCTGGTTGCTGGACCCCCCTCGCCACTCCAACGCGATCCAAAGCGGTGAAGCACAGGACTGGGAAGCAGTGGGGGCTTGACAGCATCATAGCGAGGGGGCAAGTGCAAATGGGGCAACCTCAGCTGCACACCGGCAGCGGGACGGGCAAGTGCCCCAGTAAAGTCCCTGGTGTGCTTGGCCAGTTACTGTGTATTGAGAAGTGGCACTGGGGGAGGCAGAGCTTTTCACCTCCTGGCAAGGCAGCCGCTGAAAAATCCCCACCCACCTGCAGACGAGCTCCAGGCGCTCTGCTGCTCCCCTGTTTAAAAAATGAAGCTCGCACACAGATGCGCTCTGTGCTGATTTCTACTTGCACCGGATCGACGTACGCACCAAAAGAGATTTTTCCCACACACAGGAGCAAACTTTGCCCCTACACTGTCCTGAAAGCGGGGGCATTGCCCTGCCTTCTACAGAATCAGCGTTCCCAAAGGTCTGCGATCTTGGCCACTGACACCCAGCTTTTTCTGTCCCCGCAGCCCCCGTGTCCGTGCAGGGGGCTGGGAGGAGCAGAGCTCACTGCCAGCCCTTCCTCGGAACAGGAGGGTCACACGGGCGGGGGATGCAGAGATGCGGCGGTGGCCAGGGAATAGCTCTGGCACTCATCTGGGACCTGGAAAGATGATTTTCTTCCATGTGATCCCAGCTGACGTCTGGTAGTAACTCTAAGATTAAAACTTTAGCTTCTCATGCAGTAACATGCTAATGACAACACGGGGTAAATACATTTCCTCAGAATTAAGGATTGAGGCACAAAATAAATGATTGTAACCGAGAGATCCTGTGACTGCTGCTCTCCACGCACGGGACGCACGTCTCTCCACGTCCTCCTGCGGTCCCGCGGGGGGACCCCTCCCTGCCTGTCCGTGCCCCTGCGCGAGGGTCCCCAAGGCTGCTCTCCTCCATGGCCCACCGTGGACATCTCACGCTGTTATTTGGGAATGCTCAGTGAAGCTGGAGAGCACTGATCACACATTTTGGCGCCTCGAACCTTTAAAATAAATGCTTTAGAATGAAATAAATGCCATTGTGTCAATAAACTCATTATTGCTTTCTAGTAATGAACCACAAATAAGAGCAACAGAACACCGGCGTCTGCTCGTGTGGGAGGGAGGTGGATGACGGTCTCTTTGGTGACTGTTATGGCAGCTTCTGCCTGGGCTGCACAGTTTTGGTTTTTATGAAGTGCCATCGCACCCGGTCACTGCAAGCTGCTAGTCACCGTGCTCTTTTTCTAGCTGCTTGACGTTGCGTAGGGGAAGCAAAGGCTTGGAGATGGGCTGAATGTAATGGCAAAGCCCTTGTCCACCTGACTCTGGAATTACAGACCCAGTACAGACCCACCTGGACATTGCACAGGACCGAGCATTGCAGCTGTGCCTGCTTCCTCCAGCTGCGATGCCAGGGTTTCGTTTCTCTTTTTTTCTTTTGGCTTGCATCTCTTCCACCCTGACGTGTCCCAGAAGGTTTTTCTGCCACCAAACCCAGCAATCTGCCCTTTCGTTGAGGGTCCTTGGCGCCTGCGCGCACCCAGAACGTGCAGACTTGCATTTCAGACAAAGCTGTGGTGCGGTGGAGGTAGCAGTTCCTCTTTTGTGCCACTCTCTATGAACAGCGAAGGCGTGTGGGAAGTAAGGACACCTCATCCAGCTGCCATTCCTGGGAGCCTTCCCTGCCTCCCCTCTGCCCGTCTCCCAAGAGCCACTTGGCAGCGTATTGGGAATGGTCAAATGATGGGATCATTCAGGCTGGAGGGGACCTCAGGAGATCTCCAGTCCAACCTCCTGCTCAAACCAGGTCAGGCCAGGTTGCTCAGGGCTTTATCCCACCTGGCCTTGAAGACTTCCAAGGATGGAGGTCCAAGAGCCTCCAAGACTGAGCACCACCTGCAATCTCCTACGCTGTGAAGCCGGTTCTGCTTTAGTTGTGGTGCACATTTTGGTATTACTCCATTCCGCCATTCCTTCTCCTTTTTTTGGTACCTTTTTTAGCTATTCCTTCTGCTTTTTGCTACTCAGTTTTGTTATTCCTTCTCCTTTTTTCTACTGTTCCTTCTTTTCTTTTCCTTTCTTTTCTGCCCCTTATTCTCAAGAACAGGAAGATTTTAGTTGCAAGGTCAGGCTGAGGTTGGTGTGGGATCAAGGAGGCTGCTGCTGCCCTAGACGTGCTGGCAGAAGAGCCAGAGCTTTGGTGTGGGAAGGGTTTCCTTACCAGGCTCCTAAGAGGAGGTCAAACCACAGCTCTGATGATACGACGAGGCCAAGAAGACACGTGGCATTTGGCGGGAACCAGGCATGATAGCTCAGGGCAGGACTGGAATACTCACTGGGTATGTCTGCACTGAGAGGAGCTGGGGGAAATCCTTTTGTCCTCTGGGATGGGCAGCTGGAGGACGGCCAACCCTTACACCTCCATGAACCACGGGGACCTCCACAGGGAAAGGCTGGATCCACGGCACGCAGAGCTGGTGCCCCAAGAGAGGGCAAAGCAGACCTCCTCACCTGAGGGTGGCCATCCCCGGGGATGGCTGGCACTGCTTGGTGGGACAGGCCACCATGACTCTTGCACCGCGACTTGGGGGTACTGATGGATGAAAAGCTCGACATGAGCCGGCCATGTGTGCTGGCAGCCCAGAAGCCAACCCCACCCTGGGCTGCATCAGGAGAAGCGTGGCCAGCGTCGAGGGAGGGGGTGTTCAGCCTGGAGAAGAGAAGGCTGCGGGCAGAGCTGAGTGCGGCCGGTCAGGGCTTCAAGGGGGCCCAGAGGAAAGGTGGGGACAAGCTTTTTAGTAGGGCCAGCTGGGACAGGACAAGGGGGGATGGCTTTAATCTGAAGCAGGGTAGGTTTAGACTGGATCTAAGGAAGAAATTCTTTACAATGAGGGGTGTGAAACCCTGGCAGGGGTTGCCCAGAGAGGGGGTGGAGGCCCCATCCCTGGGAACATTCCAGGCCAGGTTGGATGGGGCTGTGAGCAACCTGATGTGGTTCAAGGTGTCCCTGCTCCTGCAGGGGGGTTGGGCTGGGTGACCTCTGGGGGTCTCTTCCAACCCAAAACATTCTAGGATTCTATGATTCCATGATTCTATGACTCTGCTCCCCCAGTTTGCGCAGGAGAAGATCTTCAGGCCACTTGGTGCTGAGTGCTCCAGGGAAGTGCTACCAGTGTGGTGTCCCTCGCACACCACCCAAGGTCACCACCTCGCTTTTCTTCTCCTGCTTGATTTATTAGAGCCTTCCTGTAAGCTGGAGTCCAAACCGAGCTAACACAGCACAGGGCCTGGCAATTCAAAGTCTTGGGAAGATGATGCAGGGTAGGCAAGACAAGGAATTGGGAGGGGGCAGTGCAAAGGATGGAGGAGATGGCAACAAGAACACACACCTATAGAGGCCAGGTGTGGACAGGGGAGATACCCAGAGGATGGCAGGGGAAGGGGAGGACTCCCCAAAGGAGCCCCTGGATGCATTGCCAGAGAAGCGGGTGTGAAGAAGGCCCCCACAAAGCGGTCCTCACCGGGTCTGGAGAATGAGGTTCACACCTTACCTTTCACAAGCGGTCAGGCTTGCAGAGTTAGCCCAGGACTATGAGGATGGGGAGGCTTTAAGAAGATCAGGTCCATGATGTGGAACGTGAGAACCCGGTCTTGGAGGCTGAGGATGGGACAGGAGAAGAGAGGCTGTGGTCCGTAGCGTGGGCGTGCGTGGGGAGCAATTGAGAGAGGGAGGCAGGATCAAGGGTGGGTTTGTCTCACGCAGCAGCTGAGAGCACACTTGTGTCCTGAGGGGAGAGATCCTGCTTAGACACGGGAGCCCAAAGAAACAGGGGCTGGAGAAAATGTGGGAAACTAAATCCAGAGGAACATAAAGCAGAGGAGGACGAGGAGGAGCGGTGGGCAACAAGAAAACTACAGGAGGTGAGGCTGCTTTCACACCGGCTCTTTAAGAGGGAGCAATCAGAAAGACAGCATTTCTTGATAAAGCAAACATCTTTTTAACACGTTGCTGTTTCTTTCCTCTCCTGGGACTTCCTAAAATAGGTTGTTTCTCTTTAACCTTGTGTGAGAAGG